TGGGCCTCTTGACGAAGAGCGGCTATAAAGTCGGTGGTGGATTTGCCGGGACATTGGTCTTGTTGTTTGAAGGCATGGCGCCAGGTGATGACCGAAAGCTTGGGCTCACAATGTTCTTTGAGCATCTTCTTAAGTTCCGAGTACGCAATGGATTCAAGCGGCGCTGGTGCGACCAAGTTCTCTGCGATGTCGAAGGTTGCTTGACCGCAAACACACAGCAGCGTCGCGGCCTTCCATCCGTCATCTCGAACTTGGTTAACCCGCGGGTAGTTTTCAACTCTCGCGACGTAGGAGCGACGTTGAATTCGAAGTGTTTCCCGATCTTCGCCATGGTGAGTTTTTTCGCGGCCTATTCAATGCCTCGTGCTGCGCAGGCTTCCGTGGGACTTCCAGGGTGGATCCTTGGAAGCACTCTCCTCCAGACTGGATCTCCTGGCAGGATAGAATGAGGGGGTGGAACGCCGTTCCAACCCAGCGTCTGCTAGGCCTAACCCCCGTAGTGACTCAGCTCTTCGGGTCGAAGGCAACACGATCCCACCTTCGTCGCCATTGTTACGTTTGCTGTTCGTTGGGGCATTGAAGAGGCAGCAGGTGAAACACAACACTCTATTGCAAAGGCAAAACCGAAACTGAAAAGCAGATGCTCCACCCCTATTTATACATTCAGCTAAGGAGGCGGCAACCAATAAGATCATAGTATTCTCCCGCGTAAATGCATAACAAGTAGTCTGCAGACAGAAAGTCTGGCTTGTTGACCACGTGGTCTGCTAACCGTGATTACACACTTTGAAGCGCTCAGTTCTCCAATTTAACTCAATACATTACAGTGACCAAAACTGGATGCCGTATTCCAAGTGTGACCATCCCAAGGCGTTGTAAAGTGGTATTAACCCTTCGCGTGATCTTGATTCTCTCCCTCTGTTAATGTAGCCTGGGATTGTGTTGGCTTTTTTGGCAGCTGCAGCACACGGCTGGCTCACATCTAAGTGATTGTCCACTAGGACTCCGAGATCCCTCTCACAGTTGCTACTATTGAGCAAGGTACCCCCTATACTATATTGTACATGTGGTTTTTCTTGCCTAAATGTAGAACTTTACTTTTTTCACCGTTGAATTTCATTTTGTTGGATAGCGCCCAGTGTTCCAGTCTGTCCAGGTCCTCCTGTATCCTAAGCCTGTAACTTCTGGAGTGTTGGCTATTCCTGCCAGCTTGGTGTCGTCTGCAAATTTAATGAGTTCCCCATCTATCCCCTTGTCCAAATCGTTGATGAAGATGTTGAAGAGCACTGGGCCCAGAACAAAGCCCTGGGTCACCCCACTACACCCTTCCCTCCCTGTAGATGTGGTTCCATTGAGGACCTCACGCTAAGTACGGCCGGTCAGCCAGCTACGGATCCATCTGGGTGGTGATGCTGTCTAACCCACATTTTTCTGTCTTATCCAGTAGTAGGTTGTGGTCTACTTTATCAAACGCTTTACTGAAGTCCAAGTAAATTATATCCACAGCATTCCTCTGGTCCACTAATTTTGTCACTTGGTCAAAGAACGCAGTAAGATTTGTCTGGCACGATCTGTTTTTGACAAGCCCATGTTGGCTTTTGGTAATGAGTTTGTTTGCCTCCTTGATATTACTTAATTAAAGGAATGAAATCAAAGCACCGGACACATGGCAGAACAGGCTGAGCGTGGCCTCCGCAGACAATTAAAAAAGATTATTTATGATTTGCCATGAACAAAGAAAAGGGGAACGATGCTTTGTGCCAGACGTGAGCCAGCGAAGAGCTCAAATCCTGCTCAGCTACAAACTAGCCCTCGACTTACCACACTTTGTTTAGTGACCGTTCCAAGTTACAACGGCGCTGAAAAAAAGTGACCTATGTCCGTTTTTTCACACCTACGACCGTCGCAGCACCCCCGAGGTCACGGGATCAAAATTCAGAGGCTCAGAAACTGGCATGTACTTAGGACGGTTGCAGTGTCCCGCGGTGATGTGATACTCTTTTGCAACTTTCCCAGAAGCAAAGAAAATGGGGGGGGAAGGCCGCTTCACTTAACAACCGGGTTACTAACTGAACTGCAGTGACCTGCTTAACAACAGTGGCAAGGGAGGTCGTAAAATGGGGCCAAACTCTCTTAACAAAGGGCCTTGCTTCGCGGTGGAAATTTTGGGGTCTGTTGTGGCTGTGAGCCGAAGACTATCCGCATCCGGAGTTCCCCATGTCACTTGTCTGCAATGGTCTAGGATCTCCTGCTTGAGCAGAGAGCTGGTCTAGAAGACCTCCGAGGTCCCTCCCAGCTCTATTCTGATTGATTCATTGATTCATTGATTAATTGAAATGGTCTAGGATCTCCTGCTTCAGCAGGGGGCTGGACTAGAAGACCTCCAAGGTCCCTTCCAGCTCTATTTTGATTGATTCATTGATTCATTGATTGATTAATTGAAACGGTCTAGGATCTCCTGCTTGAGCAGGGGGCTGGACTAGAAGACCTCCGAGGTCCCTCCCACCTCATTCCGATTTGGCTTCATGTCAGCTGCCAAAACATCTATTTTTAGCGGTAAATTGGGCCAAAGAATACCATGATTTTTTTAAAATAATATTTTAGTATTTTTTCCAATTTTACATTTAAGGAATTTTTAAAAAGCAGCGTGGTGCCTGGGTTAATCCATAGTTCGATAACAAAATCTTTAGTTGAAATCTCGCTTGGCAACATCAAATATTTCTTCTCTTTTTTTCCTCTGAACGATTACTGTCTTGTGTTCAAGCTAGTCCGGTTCTTATTATGTCGACTCAATAAGAACATCATTATTACATTTATCAATAAAGCAAAGAATACAATTATTGGAGGGGGAATCTAAGCGCGTTCGTCTTTATTGGGTAAATCTTACTCATATTTAACCGACATCATCTGGAGGCTAGGACATCCCAGAAGATCGAAAGAATAAGGGGGGGAAAAATCAAGTTACCCAGATAGCTGATGTTTTTAATTGAAGCTTTTATTGGAATAAACGAAAGGGACTTGATTCTATGCCTGTGAATAGAATAGAATAGAATAGAATAGAATAGAATAGAATAGAATAGAATAGAATAGAATAGAATAGAATAGAAAATACAGAATAGAATAGAATAATAAGAAATAGAATAGAATAGAACAGAAAATACAGAATAGAATAGAATAATAAGAAATAGAATAGAATAGAATAGAATAGAATAGAATAGAATAGAATAGAAAATATGGAATGGAATAGAATAGAATAGAATAGAATAGAATAGAATAGAAAATACAGAATAGAATAGAATAATAAGAAATAGAATAGAATAGAATAGAATAATAAGAAATAGAATAGAATAGAATGAATAGAAAATACAGAATAGAATAGAAGAGAAGAGAAAATACAGAATAGAATAGAATAATAAGAAATAGAATAGAATAGAATAGAATAGAATAGAATAGAATAGAATAGAATAGAATAGAAAATATGGAATGGAATAGAATAGAATAGAATAGAATAGAATAGAATAGAATAGAATAGAATAGAATAGAATAGAATAGAAAATACAGAATAGAATAGAATAATAAGAAATAGAATAGAATAGAATAGAATAATAAGAAATAGAATAGAATAGAATGAATAGAAAATACAGAATAGAATAGAAGAGAATAGAAGAGAAGAGAAGAGAAAATACAGAATAGAATAGAATAATAAGAAATAGAATAGAATAGAACAGAATAGAACAGAACAGAATAGAATAGAATAGAATAGAATAGAATAGAATAGACTTGAACTGGATTCGATTCGATTCGATTCAATTCAATTCCATTTCTGTGTTGCCAAGCACCTGAATATTTTTTTTTGGGTTGTCATTCGATATTTCATTCATTTTTTATTGTCACCAATCCTGAATATTTTATCAGCACATTTTATCAGTCTGGGTTCCAGTGTTTAGCTCTCTACCTCGTTTTTCTAGCCATTGATAAAATGTGCCCCATGTTCTAAAAAGTCTTCCGAATCTTTTTTTCCTCTTTCATTTTCAGGGTCAGTCTGTCCCTTTCTGCACCGTCTCAAATTTTCTTCATCATCCCTTCCTCCTGTGAGGTTAGCGAAAATGCTTAAAAATATCTCTAGCCCTTGCTGGAAAATGTAGACCAAAACCAGGCACTTGCTATCCCCCTTCGGTGGACGTGCCCGAAAGCCGAAAGATTTTGGTCAAGAATCCATATACGGTTAAAGAAAACGACTAAAAACACACACACACACACACACAAACACACACACACACACAGAGATTTTTAAGCCAGAATTATTTTGGGTTAAGGTGCAACTGTAGGAAATTGTGAGAAGGACTGCGTGTATCTTACACGGATTAACTGAGAATTGTATTTGCACAATGTTGGAAGGATAAAGAATATACCAAGCATCTGGATTTTGATCACGTGACCCTGGGGATGCTGCAATGGTCGTAGGTGTGAAAAGAAACCGGTCATAAGTTACGTTTTCAGTGCCGTGGTAGCTTCGAACGGTCACCAAGCAAACAGTCGTAACTTGAGGACCGCTTATATTTCTTTCCTCGCCTATCCATCTCTTTATTTTGCTTCCACCCTGTAGGTTTTCGTGCTAGGTCGACATCTCCTGCTCATGCGTTGAGGTCCTGACCCACCATGGAGACCTCAACTTAAGTTTTCTTTCCACCATGTCGGAGATTTTTCCTCTAGGGAATGAGAAGAAGGACCTCAGTGAGGCTACTGGGCCAAGGTTTGTGAAAGAAGGAGGAAAAACTGGAGAGGAGGAGGAACAGGAGAAGAAGGAGGAGGAGGATGGAGAAGAAGGAGGAGGAGGACGGCCCTTCTTCTGAGTTGGCTTGGAGGCATCTGGGTGTAACTCACAAGGGGAGAAGAGCCAGTTCCGAAGCAGTTCTCTTCTTCTTCTTCTCCTCAATCCTTCCTCAAGCTTGAGAGAACGTTCTTCTCGTCTCCTTCTTCTCCATCCCACCACCAGAAGGATGGACCAGAACGGATCTTCTCAGCACCCAGCGGTGATCTACAAGGCTCAAGTGACGACCGGCCAAGGTCTTTCAACGGGGACTTCAGATTTGATCTCCATCACCTTGGTGGGCCCCAACGGAGAAAGCCCCAAGAGGTTTCTGGACCAGATTGGGATGACCTGCTCTCTAGGATCGGTAAGAATATGGGTTCAAGTCCCAAGAGAAGGAAGTTTGGGAGATGGTACCTTAGCTCCTGGAATGGATTTTGGTCCAGAGAGAGACAGAATAACAGAATTGGGAGGGACCTTGGAGGTCTTCTATCCCCTAGCCAACCCCTAGACCATTTCAGACACATGGTTTTCCAATCTTTTCTCAGAAATCTCCAGTGATGGAGCACCCACAACATCTGGTGGCAAGCTGTTCCACTGGTTAATTGTTCTCCCTGTCAGGAAATTTCTCCTTAGTTCCAAGTTGCTTCTCTCCTTGATTCGTTTCCACCCGTTGCTTCTTGTCCTGCCTTCTGGTGGTTTTGGAGAATAGGTTGACCTCCCTACTTCTTTGTAGGAGCCCCTCAAAGACCAGGTTCAGTCTTCTCAAGAGGGACCAGGTTCAATCTTCTCAAGAGGGACCAGGTTCAACCTTCTCAAGAGGGACCAGGTTCAATCTTCTCAAGAGGGATCAGGTTCAACCTTCTCAAGAAGGACCAGGTTCAATCTTCTGAAGAGGGACCAGGTTCAATCTTCTGAAGAGGGACCAGGTTCAATCTTCTGAAGAGGGACCAGGTTCAACCTTCTGAAGAGGGACCAGGTTCAACCTTCTCAAGAGAGACCAGGTTCAGTCTTCTCAAGAGGGACCAGGTTCAATCTTCTCAAGAGGGACCAGGTTCAACCTTCTCAAGAAGGACCAGGTTCAATCTTCTCAAGAGGGATCAGGTTCAACCTTCTCAAGAAGGACCAGGTTCAACCTTCTCAAGAGGGACCAGGTTCAACCTTCTCAAGAG